AACTTCAGTGACACAGCATGTTTCTGGGGTGGCTGACAAAATGGAGTTTATACCATGTTTCCCTGAAAATAAACCCACCCCTGAAAGTAATCCCCAGCTGATTTTCAGGGGGACGGGCCTAATATTAGCCCTCCCCCGAAAATAAGCCCTGCTTAAGGGCCTGCACGGATGGCCTCTGTGATGAGGCAAAGTCGATGGGGGAAGGGGGATCCAGTATACTGGTTCCTTACCTCCACCCGGCTTGTTCCGCGGCCTCATGGTAGCAGCATTGGGCGTGACGCATGAGTTGGCAAAAGGCCGGTTTTGGCACGATGTGGCTGTTTGCTGCTGGCTGCGGCAACTTGCCACCTTACGCGTCACACTCAATGCCACTGCCATGAGGCCATGGAATAAGTTGGGCAGAGGTAAGGAACTGGTATACCGGTTTCTTACCGTTGTCCAGCTTGTTCCGCAGCCTCATGGCAGCAGCACTGGGCAGGAGGCAGCAAACGGCTGGTTTTGGCATGACATGGCTGTTTGCCACCTTGTGCATTGCGCCCAATGCCGCTGCAAGGCAGTTCAGCCAAAAGTGGCTGTGGAACAAGTGGGGCAGGTTCCCCTCTCACTTGCCCATTCAGGTACAGCTTTGGTAGCTCTGTAGGCAGAGCTGTGAAGTTCTCTTTTCTAACAGAGAAGATAACTTTGCAGCTCTGCCTACAAGGCCACCAAAGCAGCAGGTGGCGTGCCAGAGGCTTGGGGAGGGAAGGTACTGAAGTGGGCAGTTGGGCCATTGGCAAGAACAATGCAGCTCAGTGGAAAGCGGCCTTGGAACAAGTGCGGCAGGTAAGGAAAGAAATCCTTGCTCCTCCCAGAAATTGCCTTTCTTTCCTTACCTGACTCCCAGCCCCATGCTGTTTTTCCTTCATGATCTGCTGCTGCCATGTTCAAGGAAACAAAGGAAGTTTTTTTTTGGGGGGGGGGAAGGTCAATCAATCAATTCCAACTTGTTGCGAAAGATTGCGAAGTTGGACATTTTTTCCCTCCCAAAAACTTCGTTTCCCTGCATGCGGTGGTGGTGGCGGATCGCAAAGGAGAAACAGCATGGGGCTGGGAGTCAGGTAAGGAAAGAAAGGCAATTTCTGGGGGGAGCAAGGATTTCTTTCCTTACCTACTCCACTTGTTCCGAGGCCACTTTCCGCTGAGCCCCATTGCTCTTGCCAATGGCCTGACCGCCCACTTCAGCACCCTCCCTCCCCGAGCCTCCGGCGCACCACCTTCTGCTTTGGTCAGCCTGCCGGCCCCCACCTCAACACCCTGGCTACCACTGCCCAGCATGGCTGCCCAGAGGCTGGCTGGCATGGGAAGGGCACGCACCCCACCTTCCCACCACCGTGCAGGGTAAGGTTGCCACGCCCCCCCAGAGGTCCTTGCCTCCCCCAAGCGTTTTTTTTTACTAACCTGCCTTTCAGCTGCATTCTGTTTCTCTATTTGCTTCTCAGCCTTCACCGCGTGTTTGTGGGACTTATCTGTAAAAAAAAAAAGTTCCATCAGACTTTCTAACTTCTTGAGATCTTGCGAGAAGTTAGAAAGTCTGATGGAACTTTTTTTTTTACCAATAGTCCCACAAACACGTGGTGAAGGCTGAGAAGCGAATGGAGAAATGGAATGCAGCTGAAAGACAGGTTAGTAAAAAAACATTTGGGAGAGGCAAGGGTATCTGGGCAGGGGTGGGCGCAGCAACCTTATCCTGCGCGGTTTCAGCAGGTGTCTACCAGGGGGAGGGAAGCAACTGGTCCGCCACCGTGCTAGCGCCACCGCGTTGCTTCTCCACCCCATGCACAGGCCCCGCCCCACCCCCACGCACTCACGGCCTACTGGTACTGGCAAAAAATAAGCCCTCCCTGAAAATAAAACGCTGTGCTTACTTCAGAGCCCAAAAGAAAGTAAGAAAGTGTCTTACTTTTGGGGAAACTGTACCTTCTTGGACTTTGTATTTGAAATGCCTGTTCCTGTTGGAGTACTTTCACCTGAGCTTGAGTGTGCCCTTTTGGTAATTTAATGGTGGTGGGTTAATTCTATTATGTCCTAAAAGTCATGTTCCTGTCCTTGAAGCCTTTGTTTTTCTAATCCCATCAGCTCAAATCAGCATTTTGTTTATTTATTTTTATTTATTTAATTTTATTTATATGCCGCCCAATCCCAAATGACTCAGGGCGGCGTATAAAATTAAAACAATCACCAACAATAAAACAATAAAATAATACAATCATACCGCGAGTCCGATCATATCCCGCCCCCCCCCGGGGACATCAGCCCCAGACCTGCCGGAACAGGAGAGTTTTAACGGCTTTCTTAAAGGCCGGCAGGGTGGGAGTAGTTCGAAGCTCGGGGGGAAGTTGATTCCACCAGGTCGGAGCCACCACAGAAAAGGCCCTTCCCCGAGGGCCCGCCAGCCGACATTGTCTGGCCGACGGGACCTGAAGGAGGCCCAATCTGTGGGACCTCACCGGTCTCTGGGAACTGTGCGGCAGTATGCGGTCCTGTAAGTAAACTGGCCCTATGCCATGAAGGGCTTTAAAGGTGATAACCAACACCTTGAATTGCGTCCGGAGACCCACAGGAAGCCAGTGCAGCTCACGAAGGATAGGTGACACGTGGGCATACCTTGGCGCACCCACAATCGCTCTCGCGGCTGCATTCTGAACCAACTGCAGCCTCCGAACGCTCTTCAAGGGTAGCCCCACGTAGAGCACGTTACAGTAATCCAGTCTTGAGGTGACAAGGGCATGAGTGACTGTGAGTAAAGCCTCTCGGTCCAAATAAGGCTGCAACTGGTGCACCAGGCGAACCTGGGCAAAGGTCCCCCTGGCCACAGCCAATAGATGTTGTTCCAAATTTAGCTGTGAGTCCAGGAGGACCCAAGTTGCATGCCTGCACTCAGGGAGGTAAATTTGCCCCCCCCCCCGGACCAATGATGGACCATCCAGTTGACCTTTGGGAGGCAAGACCCAGAGCCACTCGGTCTTGTCAGGGTTGAGTCTAAGCCTGTTCACCCCCATCCAGACCCTCACATCTTCCAGGCACCGGCACATCACGTCGACTGCTTCACTGAAAGGACACTTTATGAATAAGTGGCCCCAAATCTGCATTTCTAAAAGCTGGCCTGCTCAGTTTCTGCCTGGGGAAACTTGGGCTGCTCCTGCCTCCTCTAAGATTTGCCTCCATTGTTCCTTTGGGAAAATATAATATTCTGCCTTTTTTAAATATCTTCAAAAATATTTTCTTCTCTAGGAGGGTGGGTGGGTGCTGACTTTCTAGACCAGCGGTTCTCAACCTGTGGGTCATGATCCCATTTGGGGTCATACGACCATTTTACAGGGGTCGCCAAACAACGCAATCCGCCATTTTTTCCCTCAGGGGGCGACGCCGCGCATGCACACCGCGCATGGAGGCAACACTGCGCATGGGGGCGACGCCGCGCATGCACCCACGCATGGGGTGATGCCATGCATGTGTGTCGCGCATGGGGGCACCGCGCATGCGCGTTACGCATGGGGGCGCCACGCATGCACGCTGCACATGCGCAACGCATCCTTATGGCCAGGGTCACCGTATAAAAAGGTTGAGAACCACTGTTCTAGACTAACTAAATTATAATTACAAGTCCAAGGATTTCTCTGAGTTGGGAAATTATTTTTTCTGTATGTTATCATAATTTTATTTAATTTACATTTAAATTTGGATCCCAATTAAATTAGATAATCTAATATGGAATTACAGTAGGCTAGTTATTGATGAGGTGAAAATACCGGTAGATTCCTGCTGGATGTTACATATTTGTATTTTCTCATAGGATTGTTCATTTTCTGGGACATATCTACAGCCAACAACTGGTATTATTCTATCTATAGGGAAAATTGGATTTTGAAAAAGCAGGATAGGAAGCGTACCAAACTTTTCTGGTGTTGGAGAAAACTCCCTAGACTAGAATACCATGGACAACCAAGAAAACAAACAAATGGATCACTGAACACATCAACCCAGTTTTTTACTCAAAGCACAAATGACCAAGCTTAAATTACCCTACTTTGGATGCATTATGCAAAGACCTATCTCTCTGGAAAAGGCTGTAATACAGAATTCTTTTATTAGAAACAGTATTCTAATTATATAGTTATCTTTAAGCATCGCCCTTCTCTCAAATAATGCGTCTATTGTCACAGCTTATGATTGGTCTCTGGTATTCGTTCAAAAGGAGAGATAAAGCTGTGCAAACGTTTCCATATTACTTATACATTTGTTACATTGATATACCATCTTTCCTTCAAGACCTCTGAGAAGCATCGTATTCCCTCCAATATTTCCCCACATCACCGTGAATTAGGCTAGCAAGCCGAGCCAGAGTAATTCGACTCGAGTCGCCCAGTGAGCTTTGCGCGTGCACCACGCTGATTGTCATTAGGGACCCTTCGCATAACCCAGCCTTCACCTCCACAGCGGCTTGCTGGAATTCAGATTACCCTACCTAATCGCTTCCAATCGTTCGCAGCTTGTAGCGAACCCACATTGCCTTCGCTTCCCCCGACCGACGGTCTGTACCGGCGCAAAGACCCAGGCGAAGCTGACTTTCGCGTGCTCTAAGCAACAATTAACTGTGGTGTGTTCAGAAATCCTGTACAGTAATTAAAGGTTCATATTTTAAACAATATAGGAAACAGCAAACAAATCAGCGAAAACAAATAACAGCATTGTTGGTCTTCAGGAGTCATCAACGCGTTTCATTAACCATGAGAGAAAAAAAAACACGCCAGCCCAAATCAATTAAAAGTTTAAGTCACTGTCTAAAATAAATTAGAACGGGTAGAAGACGGTGAAACTGGGCTTTTAAAGATAGACATTTCCTATATCCAATAAAAACGTGCTCCTTAAATCCAATGGTCGGTAGCCGCTCTTAGGCAAGGCGGTACAATTGCGTCGGCAGTGATCACGTGCGCGTGCTGCGCCTGCGAAACTTCCTTTTCTGGGCAGCCGTGAGAGAGGTGAGACCATGAAAGCGTCGGGCACGGTGAGTACTGGGCTTGTGGCCTTCCTGGGGTCCGCGCGGGGAAACCTCTGCTGCTGCGTGGCTGAAGGAATGTGAGTGAGGCAAAGAATGGTAGAAAGGCTGGGAAGGAATCTCCGTTCGGGAATCTTGCAGCCGCCTTTTTCTCTGCCACGAGTGAGCACTCAATATGGCTGCCTCCCCGCGCCAGTTCCTGTAGCGTGGGCTCGGGTCGGCTGCTCAAGTCGGAGGATTCAACTCGCAACATCTTTCCCGGACCTAGGATGCAGTGTAGTACAGCGAGATTAGTTGGGAAGAAAATGCAATTGTAGCCAACATACTCATGTCATTCTTAGGTCCTTTTCTCTGTAATCCTCGTATCGGTTTCCAAGATTGAATTCGAAGAAGTTTCAAATAGACAGTAGGTATTCTACCTCTGTATAAACACTGTTTTTATATTTTTAGCTGAATTTACAGAGCATTGGGGAGGCGTGAACTTAGTTTGATTTAGTAAAGCAGATAACACCTTTTTTATAGCAAATGCATTGCTTGATCAATTTTGACTCTAAAAACTAGAATGGTTTTTTATTAATATTTCTCTTTTTTTCTTTTAAGCTGAGGGAGTACAAAGTTGTTGGGAGATGCCTTCCTACTCCCAAATGTCCAACCCCATCTCTTTATCGGATGCGAATCTTTGCTCCTAACCATGTTGTTGCAAAGTCCCGTTTCTGGTATTTTGTCTCACAGCTGAAAAAGATGAAAAAATCTTCTGGGGAAATTGTATACTGTGGACAGGTATTGTAATAGAAAGTGGGATAGATTTAAATATTGAAAACATTTATTTTCTAACACTGCTTGCGCCTAATATTTATAAGTATCTATATTGTTTGGATTAAAATTTATTACTAGTGACCATCATGTCTTGTAAAATGCTTAAATTATTTTATCCTATTTCATTTCATGACTGTTAATGAAATGAATGACCTGTTTATTGAAGACAAATGAAAAATAGTTGTTTCTGTGCCCTGGAGATGGTTTAGAAGTTATAATATTCTTTTAAAATTAGAAACAACATGAAAAGATTTTTTTTCAAGAATGCCCCTTTTTAGTTTCAATGAATTTGGCAGAGAGGTAGAAGGAAGTTAAACTTTGCACAATCCATTGCTAATTTTTTATTGCAAAGTAAAATAGTTCTCACCTTACTTTGAATGTCCATCAGTTTTATGTCCAGCATGTGGAGGCATCTAGTTAATTACTACTTTGGATAGAATGCTAGAGAAGCAAACCAGTCCTGGCTTCTTCCTAGAGCTATGATTTGATTTAATGTGTTCCTATGCTGATAAAGAATTAATCGGAGGAGGCCTTTCATATGTCAGTGAATACGTTTACAGAGATAAATCTGTAGCAGACCATGAAACAGGTGAAGTAATAAATGGGCCAATCTTGTGTCTGCTGGATTTAAAGCACTTTTGTGTGGGGGTGGGCAGAGAATCATAGTGCAACACTACTGACTTCTGCTTAAAGATTTTATTTTGTTTCAGGATTAGATTCATGTAATCTTGGATATGTATTGCATTTTTACTCTGTCTATTTTGATCCAGAGAAAATCTAATGTATTCTATGGAAATTGGATTACAGCTTTAGGATATTCATTCTAATTCATTCATTGTATACTTGGCATGCTAATTAAAACAACATTGATTTGTTTTTTATTTCTATACTATTAGGTTTTTGAGAAGTCTCCTCTGAAGGTGAAAAATTTTGGTATCTGGCTGCGCTATGATTCTCGCAGTGGAACTCACAATATGTACAGGGAGTACAGGGATTTAACAACTGCTGGAGCTGTAACACAGTGCTGTAAGTAGAGGCCTCGGAGTACTAGATCAGTGATGGCAAACCTTTTAGAGACCGAGTGCCCAAACTGCAACCCAAAACCCACGTATGCATCATCGGGTGCCGGGTGGGCATGGCCCATTGGGTGGGCATGGCTGCAGTGGTAACAGACTGGGTGGGACTAAAAAGTTCAATCAATCAATTCCAACTTTGGAAGATATTTTTTTTTCCTGAGAGAAGTTGAAATTGACTGATTGATTAACCTTTTTTTTTTTTTTGTACACGGCGGCAGAGGCCTAAAGCGAAAAGGTTTTATAAAACCAGCTGAAGGCCTAGGGCTACACCACGCGTGCCCACAGAGAGGGCTCTGAGTGCCACCTCTGGCACCCGTGCCATAGGTTCGCCACCACTGTACTAGATTATCTTAAGATATCACTATCATAAAGAAAAATAAGTGTTGCAGAATTGGTATTTCTTAGTGTTGGTTTTACCTAATGTTCCTATTAGTTTGACTGTCTTATAAATAAGTAGCTAATGTATTATTCTGTCATTTTACTGAGGGGATAGTAAACAATAGGGGGAGGTGTTCTGGATGCCTTTAAATCAGTTTTGACTCCTGACAACTGCCTGGACAAGTCTCAGCAGTTTTCCTGGAAAGATTTTGAAAGTAGGTTGGTTGCCATTGTCACTTTCCTATGCTATTTTCATTTTTTTTATAGATGTTTTATTAAATTTTTATGGTTATAAGCCTTTAGTGCTTAATGAACAATGTGTTGTCTGGGTTCACATATTTAACAATAATAATACAACTTCCATTTCTATTCTCTACTCTACTCCATTTTTCCAGCCATTTATAAAAATTATCCCATGTTTTGGAAGTATTCTGTATCTTCTTTCCCTTTCATTTTCGATGTAAGCTTATCCATTTCCTCACAATCCAAAAATTTCCTGATTGTGTCTTCCAATGGTGTTTCTTCTTTTTTCCAATACTGTACAAATGCAATTTTTGCTGCTGTTAGTACATGTAATATTAAATATATACATTTTTGTCATAGTTCTCTGTAATTATACCTAAAAGAAATAATTCTTGCTTGAAATCTGCATGTTTTCTTAACATTTTCTGTAACCACATGGGTATTTTCACCAACTTTTTTTTTTGCTTTAAGGCATGTCCACCAAAGGTGACATGCTTTTGCCTACATTTCCAACAATCTCTTTTCTAGGGTTGAGAAAGAGTGACTGGCCCAAGACTTTCGTTCTTAAAGTAGAATTTTTGCTCTTTAGCATAATGCCTTAACCACTACACTAAGCTGTCTCTCAAATTGTAATATAGGTAGTCCTTAACTTATGATTGAGCCGAACATTTATGTTGCTGAGTGAGACAGTTAAGTGAAATTTGCCCCATTTTACAATTTTTCTTCCCACAATTTTTAAGTGAATCACTGCAGTTAAATTGCTAAATGAATCTGATTTCCCATTGACTTTGCTTGTCAGAAGATTGCAAAAATGATCACAAGACCCCGAGACACTGCAACCTACATAAATATGAGTCAGTTGCCAAGTGTCTGAATTTTAATCATGTGATTATGGAGATGCTGCAACGGTCACAAGTGTAAAAAATGATCAATCACTTTGCTGTTGTAATCTCGAATGATCACTAAATGAACTGTTGTAAGTCGAGGACTACCTGTACTGAATATTAAAAATTGAATTGTTGAAATGTGTTATATATTGTAACTTGGTAGATTCATAACTCATGATTAGCTATGTCTGCTGTAAGTTATTTTATACAGTGCCATTTAGACAGGTAAAGTTTTCTTTAGACTATTGACTAAGCTACCTGACATTTATTTCAAATCCAAATTGTCCCAACAACTCAAGAGCCATTTGAATGTAACCCAGAAGGCCTTTATTGGTATTAAACAGACAATTATTGCCAAAGCAAAAAAGTTCAAAAATTAATTTGGACAATATATAAGAAATTTGGTATAGAGACTTGGATTTATGCTGTATTACTCAAATCACCAGCTTCAGGCTTTAATAATAGATATGCTTCTAACATCCTAAATACCCATTCAGTTCAGAAAAACCTTGAATAGGGCTAGTTGAATTAGTCAAAGGATGCTTTAAAAAGGTTCTCTTTTTACTACTTACTAGGAATAATTCATATTATTATTATTATACATTATTATACATATATCGCCTCTACCAACACCTCATTTTAAATTTCCAACATTATTCATTGTAGTGACTCTCGTATTTTTTATAGGACTCAACCAGGATTCCATCTAGACCTGGTGATCATACAAATATTCTCATAGTCCAAATCCACTAGCTTTTTATATACCTTATTTTTTTTAAAAAAAGATTCACGTTAATTATTATTTAGTGCATATACTGTTTTTGCTCTAGTACTATTTCCAACATTAAAATTCACCCCTTTTCATCCAAATATATTGATTTTATTTTTTCTTTGACATATATAATAATTCCTCCTTTCTTGTTTTATGCTAATATTGTGTATATTTCTAAATTTTACTTTCTCTAGTAGTTTTCTATAATCCTATTTTATATAAACTTCCTAAAGATACATCACATCTACATCCAATTTCCTTAAATTGTTAAACGTTTAAACTCTTTTTCTTGATATATTTAATCCATTAATGTTTACAGAAAAGAGCTGTTAGAGAATTTTAATTTCTCTATTGGTGAAAAAATAAATCAGAAGCTCTCACAATTGACTGCATTTAGCTGATTCAAAATAACTTCTTTATATTCATATAAAAATATTTACAATACCATATCTGGACCCTTTTCAATCTGGTTTCAGGCCCGGCTACAGCACTGAGACTGCTTTGGTCGCACTGACCGATGACCTCTGGCGAGCCCGGGATAGGGGTCATTCCTCTATCTTGGTGCTTCTTGACCTCTCAGCGGCTTTCGATACCATCGACCATGGTATCCTTCTGCGTTGTCTCGGAGAGGTGGGGGTGGGCGGCACCGTATTGCGGTGGTTCTCCTACCTCTCTGACAGGTCGCAGTCGGTGTTGGCGGGCGGACAGAGATCGACCCCTAGGCGCCTCGATTATGGGGTGCCTCAGGGCTCGGTCCTGTCCCCCCTCCTTTTTAACATCTACATGAAACTGCTGGGTGAGATCATTCGGCGACACGGGGTGAGGTATCATCAGTACACGGATGATACCGAATTGTATATCTCCACCCCGTGTCCTTTCAGTGAAGCAGTCGATGTGGTGTGCCGGTGCCTGGAAGATGTGAGGGTCTGGATGGGGGTGAACAGGCCTAGACTCAACCCTGACAAGACTGAGTGGCTCTGGGTCTTGCCTCCCAAAGGTCAACTGGATGGTCCATCATTAGTCCTGGGGGGGGGTAAATTTACCTCCCTGAGTGCAGGCACGCAACTTGGGTGTCCTGGACTCATAGCAAAATTAGGAATAACATCTATCGGCTGTGGCCAGGGGGACCTTTGCCCAGGTTCGCCTAGTGCACCAGTTGCGGCCTTATTTGGACCGGGAGGCTTTACTCACGGTCACTCATGCCCTTGTCACCTCAAGACTGGATTACTGTAACGCGCTCTACGTGGGGCTACCCTTGAAGAGCGTTCGGAGGCTGCAGTTGGTTCAGAATGCAGCCGCAAGAGCGATTGTGGGCGCGCCAAGGTACGCCCATGTGTCACCTATTCTCCGCGAGCTGCACTGGCTTCCTGTGGGTCTCTGGACGCAATTGAAGGTGTTGGTTATCACCTTTAAAGCCCTTCATGGCATAGGGCCAGGTTACTTATAGGACCGCATACTGCCACACAGTTCCCAGAGACCGGTGAGGTCCCACAGATTGGGCCTCCTTCAGGTCCCGTCGGCCAGACAATGTCGGCTGGCGGGCCCTCGGGGAAGGGCCTTTTCTGTGGTGGCTCCGACCTGGTGGAATCAACTTCCCCCCCCAAGGTTCGAACTACTCCCACCCTGCCGGCCTTTAAGAAAGCCATTAAAACTCTCCTGTTCTGGCAGGCCTGGGGCTGATGTCCCCGGGGGGGGGGGCGGGATATGATCAGACATGCTGTATGAATGTATTTATTTTATTGTTTTATTGTCATATTATTGTTTTAATTTTGTACGCCGCCCTGAGTCCCTTGGGATTGGGCGGCATATAAATTTTAGTAATGAAATAAATAAATAAATAAATTCTTCTTTACAGCAACATAGCTTAATGAAGACTTCTTACAGAGACAGATCAGAGACAAACCTGAGACTGGAAAATTCAGCTCCTAACTCAATACCCTTTGCACAGACTCAGTAGCACTTTCTTCATATTGGCTGACTGAGTTACCACATGACTCTTCCTGTTCATGAATATTCCAACACTCCTCCCTTCATTCTTAATACATTCTTTAATCGTGAAAAATCTTGTGCCACTAACCTGGCCTTATACTGTATATCAATATTTGGCAATACCTTTTTCTTATATACCCATTTACAACCCACAGCTTTGGTTCCCTGTGGCAAAGTCATTGATTTAAATACTTCATGGTCTCCCATGGATTTCATCTCTTTATCCATGGCCTCCTTCCATCTTTCTTGTTCAGCCTTTGGTAATGCCAACACTTCTTTTTAACTTCTTGGCTCATACCACACATTGCAAACCTTTACCTTGCTAGCAGAATACCTGTCAGGCGGAATTCCTTTATTACATCACTCTGACCTATGTGGTATTAACTGCTCCTGTGTCTCAAGTCTTTCTGGTTTCATGTCTTGTATAGCCTCTCCTCCCTGAACATTGACATCTTCTATAATGATTTTTTCATCATTAGATGCGTTATTGTCACTAAACAGATCACCGTCATTAAGTGAGACATGCCCAGAATTTGCATTAATTCTGTCCCAATTTTGTTCTGCAAAATTAGCAGACCTTGAAATTATAATTCTTTTACTTCCATCGCTAAAGTGATATCCTTTTGACCTTGGCTCATAGCCCACAAACCTGAGCTTTCTTGCCTTTTGCTGTCCCTTTCTTCTGTTTGCTTTTGGATTATGTACCCATGCAGTACTTCCAAAAATTCTCAAATGTGCCAGTGATGGCTTTCTCCCATATAGAATGGCATATGGAGTATTATTAATGGAGGAACTCCACAGCCTGTTAACTATATAATTGGCAGTCAATATGGCTTCTCCCCAATATGACCTGCTCATACCAGAATCCTCCAATAATGAATCTTTCATTGTTTGCAAAACACCATTCCTTCTTTCAGCTACACCGTTCTCTGCTGCTGAGTAAGGATTTGTACGTCTGTGTCTTATCCCCAACTGCCCCAACCATTGTTGGAATTTAGTTGACATAAATTCAGTATCTCTGTCAGTTTGCAACTGACACACTTGTTGTCTGTACCTTCTCTCTACAAAACTTACCCACTGTTTGAATTGTTGTAGCACCTCTGTCTTTGCTCTAAGCAAGTAGCAAAACGAATACCTGCTATAATCATCAACAATTACCAGTGCATATTTTGCTCCTCCCAAACTGGCTTGCATAGGTCCCACTAGATCTGCATGGACCAGCTCTAGAACTCTTTTTGTTTGTCTTGTGCTACATTTACTAACTGGGAATGCCTTTGACTTCGATGCTTTGCATACTGCACAGTCCAAATATGTTTTGCATCCCTTCAAATTTAGCCCTTCTGCAAAATCTTGCGTTTGCTGCAAAACTTTAAAGCTTGCATGGCCAAGTCTTCTATGCAGAAGATGAACACATGAATCATGCTCTGCAACATTCTTAAATATATGGGAACATTGAACCTTTTGTCCTTGCAATACATATAGATTTATCTTCCTTTATGCCAGTGGTTCTCAACCTGTGGGTCGGGACCCCATTTGGGGTCAAACAACCATTTCATGGGGGTCGCCAAACCACACTGTCTGCCACTGTTTTCCCTTTTCCCTTTTCCCTAGCTGTCCTACTCCCTCTTATTGGTGGCCACACCCACTTGGGGGTCACCACAACATGGGGAATTGTATTATGGGGTCACGGCATTAGAAAGATTGAGAACCACTGCTTTATGCCTTCTGCACAAATATTCCCATGCCTTTTGATGAGACACTTCCCATTTACAAAAATGACCTCAAAACCTTTTTGTCTAAATTAGACATACTTAACAAATTATGTTCCATCAGGTACACAAAGCACATTGGTAAACTTTGATTCCAAATATGGAATTTTTACATCGCCTTTTCCGATGACTTTTGCTTTCTGGCCATTTGCCAAAGCCACAGCTTCTTGTGCTACTGGAACAAACCTGCAAAATAATTCAGTCATTAACAATTGTTTGACTTGCCCCACTATCTATTAGCCACTTGTTTCTGTTGTTGCTATAGCAAACTTTTGCAACACCAAAATGTTCCCTTTTGCAAATTAGTCTTCTTTACATGCACAAATGTCCTTTGCTGCAAACAGTTCCTCTGCAAACAGTTCCTTTGCAAATGTGTCTTTTCTCCACAAATGTAGCAATTCTTTTCTAGCTTAGCTCTCTGCCTGCAAAATCTCTCCTTTGTTGCAACTTGGTCCAGGTCCGATCTGCTTGTTTTTTTCTCCTCCGGAGACTTGCAGTCTGGACCCCCTCCTCAGGAATTTCTCCTTGTGGCTGCTTCTAAAATGGCGTTTTTCCTCTTCATTAAGCAAACATGTCTTTAAAGCCTCAAACTTTAAGTCTTGCTCTTCTTTAAACTCAAATATCGTAGAAACTGTGTCCCAGGTTTTATCTAAACTATTCAACATCAATAAAACCTTCTGGGACTCAGGGAATTTAATCCCACCTTGTTCTAAGTCCAAAAATAAACTTTGCATTTTATTTAAATGCTGTTCCACAGATTCATCTGGTTGCAAACAAGCCCTGTAAAGTTTTCTTGACAATTGCACTATATTGCATGCAGAAACATTCACGTGCACAGCTCTCAACTTCAACCAAATCTCCTTTGCAGTCTTTAAATTTGCAATATTTAGAAATTGTTCATCTAAATTCAAGATGAGATAAGCCATTGCTTGATCATGACTTTTCTGATCAACTGCTGCAAACACTTGTGGATTTTCTACAATATACTACAGCTCTTTTGCTTTGAGCAAACATTCCATTTTAGCAGCCCACACAATGTAATTCTTCTGGCCCAAATGAGGTACACAGCTTTCCTTAAATTCCATTGCAGCCATTCTGCAAATTCTGCCATATTTTTATACTTTTATACTATACGTTTATACACAGGCAATTTTTTCCAGCTTTAAATTACAGTGCAGTCCTTAGTAAGCTCTGGGCCCATAACCTGTTAAGAGAATTTTAATTTCTCTATTGGTGAAAAAAATAAACCAGAAGCTCTCACAGTTGACTGCATTTAGCTGATTCAAAATAACTTCTTTATATTCATATAAAAATATTTACAATACCATTCTTCTTTACAGCAACATAGCTTAATGAAGACTTCTTACAGAGACAGACCAGAGACAAACCTGAGACTGGAAAATTCAGCTCCTAACTCAATACCCTTTGCACAGACTCAGTAGCACTTTCTTCACATTGGCTGACTGAGTTACCACATGACTCTTCCTGTTCATGAATATTCCAACAAGAGCTTAATTACATCTCCCATTTTTTACTTGATCTATTTTTTATTTTTATTTATTTTTTATGCTTGTCTCTATAAGTCTTCCTTTTGCTTCTCTTTCTAACCTTTCTCTTTCTTGTAACTTTTGTGTTTCTCACTCTCGATCAACTTCCTCTAATAAATCTTCATCGTAACTTTTACTCTCCGGCTCTTCCCTACTTTCTTGTTCTTCTCCTTGTGAAAAGTAATTCATAAAAGTCCTGTGCTTTCTCAAGTGTATCTATCTTGTATTTTTTTTCCTGCCAAGTTAAAAGTATGCCTTCAGGTATTAACCAACGAAACATGACTTTATATTTAATTAATTGTGTCGTTAAAAATTGTTATTCTTGTCTCTGATTTCGTATACTACGTGGTATTTTTTTTAATACAGTTATTTCTTTACCCTTATATATTATTGGTTCGTCTCTTGTTTTTTTATATATTTCATCCCTTATTGATCTTCTAGTAAACCTTATATGGACCTCTCACCAATCTATGCCTTCGTGCATAATTTGTATATACTCTATATATTTCGTCTATGTCGCTTCTTACTTCCAATTTTTCTTTGCCTAAAATCTAGAATGGATAATATCATTTGTGGTCTAGGTTAAATTTATTGCTTAAAAATTAATGTTAAAATTGAAGGAAGTTATACAATTTGAATAGTTTGATTTCTCTGTATTTAATTTTATTTTTGGTCATTTTTTAAATTTTTCCTAAGTTTGTTTAGCTCCCTTGCCCCAGTTTTCCCCCCATTACAGTTTTGATAGGTTTCTTTCTAACAGTGTATAGTCTTTTATACAATAACAATTAAATGATTATTTAATTTAAATATAATACATTCATGACATATTTTTTACAAAATGTTATAAAGTTTGTAAAAATGAACTCAAAAGTTTGAGTTAAAGTTGGTTATCTTAAGGTAGACATATCAAGGATTACATCACAACATAAGCCTTTCAAGCCTTTCCAAATAAATTCAATAAATTGAATTCCTAGATAAATGTTTATTGCATATTTAGCTTCCCTTGAACCTGAAATTCAAGTCAACCTGAAATTTAAGTCCACCTGATTTTCAAAGTATAAATAACATACCATATATTACTTCATTAAAAAGATTCTAAACATTCTTATATTCTTGTATACAAATGATTGAATGTAGCTATTTTTCATTTCTAGAATCTGTTGATTCTCCTCTAATTCAACTTGCTCAGCTTATATGGCAGAGCCATAAATCACTACTGGTTTTGAAATTTTTAATTGCATGCAAACCCAAAGAGCATTGTTTATAATAAAATGTTCTTGTCATGTGTGCAGATATTAAATGTATCTTGTCGCCTTTCAAGAGCTGAAATCTTTTTGAAAGTGAAATTGAAGATTCTACAACAAATACTGTTCTTATATGGAGATTGATATAAGTATTTAATCAAAACTAATTCTTTTGCTAAAATGTATAATACAACTGATGAATTGCAGATCGTGATATGGGAGCACGTCATAGAGCCCGTGCTCATTCTATTCAGATCATGAAGGTTGAAGAGATCGCTGCTAGCAAATGCCGCAGACCTGCTGTCAAGCAGTTCCATGTAAGTAAAGCAAATTTTAAGTGCGTGTTCTCAAACTATATAATTTGGAAATTTTTCTCTTCAGCCCTGTGCTTTCTATGAAAATGTTTATAACTGTGATCAATGACTTTAAGAAGATTGATTGATTGACTACATATATATTGAAATTGGAGTCACAGACTGTTCAGGTAACTACAGAACAATTGGGTCACATCTTTCAGCTCAAATTACTGCAGGTTCATTGGAAAAAAGCTGAAGAAGACTGCTTTATGCACCAATTTGATCTTCTAAAGAAAATGAGATATTAAGCTAACAAATACTCAATACTAAAAATGCTAATATGCCATGGAGTTCTAATATTTATTTTTTAAAAAACAACTTTCCAAAATGATCCAGTTTCTTACTGTTAAGCATTATACGTGCTTTAAAAAGTATATAGTCACTTGCCTTGTTCTTTTAAAAAGTTATTTGATAATTATTGTGCTCTTAAGAAGTCCATCCTTTATTTTGCACTGATTAAATAATCACTCCATGCTACTGAAAATAAGACCAGGTTTTATTTTAATTTTTTGGACCAAAAGACCCATTAGGCCTTATTTTCAGGGGATGTCTTATTTTGCACCCGCCTGCTCCCTTCCACCAACTGCTTGCCAGCAGCAACAATGGCTTACAGGGCTTCCCAGGGCAGATGCACTTTTCACTTGGATGGAGACTGAAAGCTTTGTCTACTTGCAAATAGAGTGCTTTGAAACGGAGCAATTTGCCCCATTTGCAAGTAGACGAAGCTTCCAGTCTTCCTCTGGGTGAAAAGTGTGCGGTGGAGCAAGACAGAGGCATGGGGGAGGAAGGCAGGTGATCTGGATGTGCTGCATGTCCACCTGGCTCGTGGGAAGCTTGTGCAGCAGCAAGCAGAGGCATGGGGGGAGGCAGGCGATCCTGACGCACCACCCACTCCATCCCACCATCTCTTGGCTTGCCCACAGCTGCACCGGGGCAGGTAGCTATGTGGCGCATCAGGATCGCCTGCCTTTCCCCCCCCCCCCCAATTCCTCGCCTGCTGCTACACAAGCTTCCCATGAGCCAGGTACAGCATGTCTGGATCGCCTGTCTCCTCTCTCCCTCAGTGTTTGGACTTAACCTGTGCTGCGGCAAGGTGGCTGCAGTTGCGGCTGTACACTGTTGGCCCCCACACATTTGCTGCGTTTTGAGCTGGCCACATCCATCCTCCCCCAGGCTTATTTTTGGGATAGGGCTTATATTAGGCCCACCCAAAAAATCAGGCTAGGGCTTATTTTTAGGATGAGTCTTATTTTCGGGGTAATACGGTAACATTAGAAATATATATGCTTTCATTAGAAAGTGTCATTTAAAAAATTTTCTGAATAATACCCAAACTGATGATATTTATTTGGGCTTCTAATGAAATTTAATCTCTTTCTACAGGATTCTAAAATTAAATTCCCTCTGCCCCACAGAGTGTTGCGCCGTCAGCATAAGCCACGCTTTACTACCAAGAGACCAAATACATTCTTCTAAATGTAGGCTTGATTGATATGTTCCATGTATCAATAAATTTTTTTTGAACATTTGATTGTGTTTTAAAGCATATTCTACTCTTATTTATATGACTCCTCATCTCTATGACTCTGAATGGCATCAGTTTTAAACATTTAACATCAGTTAAAACCAACCAAGACAAATATCAACACTATAGCTTTACAGAGCAGATGCCATAACACAAAAGGCTCTCTTCCTGGCATATGCCAGATGACACTGACAAAATCCATAGCAATTTTCTCATGAGATACTGTACATGATAGGACAAGTGGACACGCTCAAGTAGAGGTAGTTCTGACTTTTGCAAATAAAATGCTGCATTTTAGAATTCAATCTTCTGATACATCACTTTGGAATGTAGTGTATTCTGGTCTCAGCTCTACTATACCCTAATTATGCAGAAGGCTGAGGTGCTAAGATCTTTAGATCTTTCATAAATGTACACAGGGCATGTTTATTTTCTTAGGCAATTTCAACTTTATGAAAAGCAAAACTTAATTTCTATCTGGCAATATGCTAACTAAAGATGCAGAAAACTAATGTTCAGTTGAAAAATACATTTTCTCAAAAATAGTACCTCATTTAGAATTAAATGTTCCTCAATACAGAAATCATAAGACTTGGAAAGTACATCAGAGATCATGTAATGCACTCTTCATTGGATAAATCCATTGCAGCATTGCAATTTTTTTGTATTCTGAAAACAGCACATTTACACACTAAAAGCAGATCAGTTAAAGCCCAGAGAAAAACTTGATGTCACTTTTCTTTCAGATATATTTTTATTTCAGTCCTGCTTGTTCTGGAAATATATCCTCCGGCTTTTATGTCCTGAGGTCTAGAATTTACAAAAAAAAAGGGCATAAACATCCAAATTGAATAGCACTAGCATTTAGAATCATATACAACTTTACAGAGTCAGCATATTGCCCCCAACAATCTGCGTCCTCATTTTATGGATCTCAGAAGGGTGAAAGGCTGAGTCAACCTTGAGAGTCTGCATTCTAACCACTGTGGCACCATGGCTGTAAGTAGGAGGAGAAAGATCTATCCGTCTTATCCAAACTTAATACTTCGCATCTAAGGTCATTAAACTTTTAACAATGCTCTCTCATATGTTACCAATTAAGGTCATAGAGGTGAAGTTAATTTGGGTTAGCATCTATTAGGAAAACACTGAAAAAAGCTGCTCAGCAGGATAAAGCTTGTTAAGTACTTAAAACAATGTTTGATTTTAAGGTTCTTTGCTGAGTAGCCTTTTTCAGGGTTTCCTTAAGGAGTGCTAACCCGGGGGTCTTCAAACTTGGCCCTTTTATGACTTGTGGACTTCAACTCCCAGAATTCCTCAGCCAGGCATGCTGGCTGAGGAATTCTAGGAGTTGAAGTCCAACAAGTCATAAAAGGGCCAAGTTTGAAGACCCCTGTGTTAAGCTCAGCTCTGTGACTTTATTAGTTGATTAGTACTCCCTCGCAGGCTCTTGCTACTGTCTGAAATGGATAAGACCTTAATCATGCGGAAGAATTTTTGCCTCCTAACCAATAACCGAATCTATGAGTTCCTTTCAACGCCACCCCATTGCCACGCCCTTCTCGTCCCCGATAAGTCACGTGGGGCTGAGCCTTTCAAAACCGCCTCTCCGGAATGGCTCCTGAAAGGCAAGGGGTCGGGCTTACGCCTGTTATGGCCTTCCCTCTGGCTCACGTGATTATTGTTCTTGTGAGTCCAGGCTCTCACTTGGCCCAAAGGCTGGCGAGCGGAGGCAGTTGTGATTGTTGCGGCGGCTAATGGGGGAGCCGATGCCCGTAGGAGCGCCAGTCCCGGTGGAGCAGGCAGTGCTGGAGACGTTTTTTTCTCATTTAGGCATCTTTTCTTACGACAAGGCCAAGGACAATGTGGAGAAGGAGCGCGAAGCTAACAAGAATGCCGGGAGTAGCTGGCTTTCACTTCTGGCGGGGCTGGCCCATCTGGCGGCGGCTGAAAAAGCCTACCATAACATGACCTTCCTGGGCCAGAAGCTAGGTACTGAAACTCGGGCTGTTGCTGGGCGTTGCAGTTCGCCTTTTCCCACCTTGTCCGCCCCATTCTGCTTTGGGGGCGATTCCCTGGGAAGGAGTATCAACTCTTGCAGGGCTCGAAGAGGACGGCGTAGGGCTGGGGGAAGTTGAGTCTGGGAAAGTAGCCTTTTCGTCATCATCTGAGCCTCACTCAAGGCTGCCAAAAGTCAGTGTGTGGGAGGCTTAATCCCGAAATTTCTTACAGAACCGGTTCCAAATTTCCAAATTAGTGCATTCCTAAATTTATCCGAAGCACCGTTGCTCCCTTCAGAATGACTTGTACACTTGCTCTCTTTTCCTCCTCTGCATCTTTAGCAAATACATTTGGGGTTGAGGTCTTATAAGTACCACTGTCCTTGGTACTTTTGCTTATGGTGGGGAGGTGTTACTTTTAGACAGAATGTGCAGATTACATAGGAAGATCAATGCTTGAAATAGTAACATAAATTGATCCCGCCCCTCCCCACATATCTGATTAACTGTGGTTTCCATGTAAATTAATATTTGGTGAGCCGTGTTGCCCAATTTGAACTAAAAGCTCTGTTCTTTTGTAGAATCTCAGGAAGTTAGGTAACATTTGGGATTGAATTTTCTTTTAAAGCTCTTCCTGAATTTTGTCAAATTTAGTTGACCAAAAATAACAACCAAAATTGTCTTTAAAGTGAGAGGGTAGTGAACAATAGGTCTAATATATATGATAAATGTAGTAGGAACAGTCTATCATCTGTAGTATAAATTTTATTTTTAAGACTAGTCCTCAAAATCTCAAAGTTGGTGTTATCAATAGGCTTTCTTCTGGATTATATTGCTTTATGTAATGTGGCTAATTAACATAATTTGTAGTATTGCTTAACATGCACTAAGTATTGTACAAGAATAGCAAAAACTATCCTGGCTTAGAAACACACAAAAGTTACAGATTAAAGGAAGAAAGGAAGTTGGAGGGAGAAATGAAACTATGTAGTAGTTGAAAAAGAAAATATTAAAAAAAGAATAGGTTGGTAATAAAATGACTGGCACATTCTGAGGGAAGTAATGAAAATGTCTTAATATTTAAAGGAGGATAAAGTGCAAGAAAAAAGTATCCTTTAAAATAGGTTCTAAATCCGCAGCTACCTATGGTTCTACCTTCATGAAGGGTTATTTTTCTTTTTCTTTAATTCTCTTCATGGTTATTACAATAGTCTTGTCGCATTATATGCAGGTCTTCTGGTACATATAGTCATTACCTTGACTGTTAACAGTATAGTTAAATAAAGATCAGTGGTGGGATTCAAATATGTGAACAACCGGTTCTTTGTGTGGATGCCGCTTTTGGAAGTCCATTCTGGGCCTGGGCAACAAAAAATTAGCTATCAGTTCTGCCGAAGTTGTGCAAACCAGCTGAATCCCACCACTGATAAAGTTTCATCTTCTGCTTGATCAAAAAGCTGAACCATCTAGAGCAGGGTTTTTCAACCGGTGGTACACATACCACCTGTGGTACATTAGCACATCACAGTTGGTATGCGGCCCTGCCCAGCGAAGTGTAGTGGGGGAGGGAACGAGCCAGCGCAGTGCAGGACTTACTGTGGGAGAGTCTTCCGGAGCTACAGAGTGGCTGGGGCGAGGCAAAGGCCCCAGGCTCACTTCCTGCTCACCCGGATGAGAAAGGAGGAGGAGGGGGTGGAGACAGGAGAGGCTACAAAAGGAGACAGTTTGAAAGCTTTCTTTTTGGTGGTCGGAGGGTGAGAGCTCCCACGGAGTCTGAGGTGTCCTCCACATTCCAGGATGCCTTTGCCCTGATTTTTATCCAGGGCAAAGCTAGACGCTGCTTCCACATCTGCGCTTAAAATGAATTTGTGAGTAAAATTTAAAGCAGACAGAGCTGACCAGGAGAGATTAAAATGGTGATTATTTTGTGACTTTAACTCTGGAAAAGAATTTATCTTTTCCTTTTTTTTTTCAATTAAGAGTGGTGAAAAATGGCGCTGAGATGTTGATTCTTTGAGTGAAAGGACCGGAACTTCTATTTGAAACAATGTAACAGATTTTGTATTTATATAAAACGCAAGAATCTTCTTTTTTCTTTTAAGGGGGCTTTTGTCTTTTTTCTCCCCCTTTTTTGGTATTTGTTGATTTTATAAGATTTTAGCAGACTTTTTAACAAGTGGTCTTAAAAATAAAATGGCTTCAAAGCGTCTCGGAGCTTCTATTGTTTCTAAAGCCTCGATCTTCCCCGTAATGCAGACAGCTCAGCAAGCTAAGTTTAAGTTACCACCACCTTCTTCATTGTTACCAGCATCTATACTTAAAGATTTATAGGAGGCCTTGGGAAATAAGGCAAGACAGATTAAAGAAGAGATGGAGGAATTTCTTGAAAATAAAATTAGGGAACTGAGAGAGGATATTGTGTCTGCGTTTCAAAAGTTTGTTGGTCATATAGATTGACTGGATGATCGTATTGATGATGATGTGGAAAATTTTGAAAAACTGGAAGATCGAACTGATAAAGTAGAAAATAAGGCGGAAATAATACTGGATGAAATTACAATGTTACAATATAGAGACATGGAATTTGCTTTAAGAATAAGGGGAATGAAGGAAAACACGCAAGAGGATTTGAGACAAATGGTGGTAAAAGATAAAGCTTTCATTTTGGGGGCTGAGCCTGAAGAAATACTGAGAGAGACGGAAAAAGTTTTTAGGGTTAATTCAAGGGTTGCAAGGCAGAGGAATTTGCCACGAGACGTGGTTATTTATTTTTCTAGAAGATCACTTTGTAATGAAATTTTACAGGCTTTTTATAAGCAGAGATTTCAAATTGCAACTCAAGATGTTATAATTTTAAAAGAAATACCTTCAAAAATTCTTAGAAAAAGAAAGGATTTTGCTTTTTTGGCTGATGAGCTCAAAAAACGACAGGTCCGGTTCAGATGGGAGATACCGGCTGGAATAGCGGTGAATTATGCGGGGATATATCATAGACATAACACAATTTCAAAGGCGAAAGATTTTTACACTTCTGTTTTGAAGGCGGGCTTTCCATCATCTTTGCAACCTGAGATTACAGAAGAAAAGTCGGAAGGGCAGCTGGTTGAAGGTGTTATGTTATTGGATGTAGGAGACATACAGGCTGAACCTCTGCAGCAGTCTCTTATGACAGAAGATTTTTTAAAGAAACCGAGAATGACTCGTGCAGCCTATAGACGTAAAGTAAAAGAACAGCAGAAGGCAGATGTTGGAATAAAGAAAAGGAAATGATGAACTTTTGTAGTAGTTTTTTGAGATAGAAGATGTTTTAAAGGAATACTGAATGATTTGTGTAATATGTAGAAGTAAAGAAAAAGAACAATAAATAGTACCGTATATGCCGGCGTACAAGGCGACCCGGCGTATAAGACGACCCCCGTCTTTGTCGCCGAGTTGCATTCCTAGAACGTCGTCTTATACACCGGAAACTACCAGTATTTCCGGCGTATAAGACAACTCAGCGTATAAGACGACCCCCGTCTTTGATGCTGATTTTAACGCTTGCGGAAGTCGCCTTATACACCAGCATTTACAGTATGTTTTAAAGGAATAGTGAATGATTTGTGTAGTATGTAGATGTAAAGAAAAAGAATAATAGAAGGTGATGATTTAGTGGAAAAGTTTAAATATTTGGGAGTATATATATTATAAAATTTTTAATTTAAAGTGTATAAAAATAATTATGAGATATGGGTAAATGTGTAAAAGAAATTCTAATGATCTTTGTTGGTGAGAATTTTAGTGATTAAGATGAATGGTTTGTTGAAACTTCTTAAGCAGGAGGGTATTAATAGATTTACTTAGGGGTGGGGAAAAAAACAAATAGCCAAGTTTATCGAATGTAAGTTTGTTGGTTGGGTTATATTGGAAGGAAAAGATTGTGTTTATTATGGATGAATGGTTGTTTAAAAGAAATATACACCTCAGGGTGGAGAAGATGGATAAATTACATGTAGAGTAAATAAAGTTGATATGGGATTAAAAACTGTTATTTAGATTATGAATAATTTTTAGTTTTTTTAATTTGGAATTGCTTATATTGTTATTTTTGTTTTTTTTTTTTTGTTTTTTTAATATATTTTATTTGCTTAAATTTGTTTTGTATTCTAGTTAAAGTACATTATTGATTTTGTTATTTGTATAGTTGGATAAGTTTATTTAGAATTTGTTTGTTTATTTGTAACCCTGTAACCAGCTCTGGGAAGTGAGGGGGGAAGAAGGGAGGGGGTTATTTTAGGGGGGGATATTGTTAAAAACTTGTATAAAACTTTTCAATAAAAAAAAGGAGGCAGTTTGGGCAGGAGAGGGAGAGAGGAAAAAAGAGGCAGACTTGGGAGGAGGTGGAGTCAGCTCTAGCTGCACTGAAGAGAAAGAAGGAGAAGGGTGGGGGGAGAGGAGAAAAGATCAAGCAGGCCGGCCATGAGCCGATCTACAATTTCTATGGCATCCATCCGTGCTAGCAGCAATAAACAGGCAAGAAACGCAGTGGGGGAAGGGTCGCCCTCCATGAGGAATGAAGAAAGGCAGCAATGAAGAAAGGCAGCATCAGCTAGAGGTGAGGCAGGGAGGGAGGGAGATGGAGAGTGGAAGGATTCTTCTGTGCTTTTGTGACTTTGAAGTTCTGGGATTTGTGCAATGTGGGCTTTGTCTTCTTAAGGAGTGTTTGGCAATTTATATTTGGCTGATGGCTGATGTCTCCTGTTAGTTCTATTGCTCTGCTATTGTTAGCTGTAAGTTTTGCTGCAAAGGATTTTGAAGTATTTTTCTCCTGAATGGATTTTGCCTGTAGCATTCCTTTACTTATGAATGGAGCCATTTGGGGAGGCTGCCTTAGCCAGCAGCCAGTACTTACTACATTTTTTTTCCTCCTTAATTTTCCTTTCTAGCCAGTAGCTAATTCTTAAAGGGGAATGCATCTTTTTAAGCTAGTTTCCTCAGCGGCTTGTCTTTTCTGTCTCTGGAGGCTTTTCTTTGTTTGATGAATATATGGGAAAATATGGGGGGGGGGTTCAAATTCTTCCTTCAGAAGGAGATGGGCATGAGAAAGAGGGAGGCAATGAAGGTGGGAGAGAGGGAAGGAAGTCCCGCCTTAGCACTTGGCCACCAGCAGCCCTGCCATTGACTTTGCTTGTCAAAAGTTTGCAAAAGGGGATCACATGACCCTGGGACACTGTGACCATCATAAGTATGAATCAGTTGCCAAGCATTCAAATATAAATCGCATGACCCTGGGCAGGTTGCAATGGTCATAAGTGTGAAAAATGGTCATAAGTTATTTCAGTGCAATTGCAACTTTGAACAGGTTTTTTTTTGGGTCAAGTTTTTGACACGTTGCTAGGTGGTACTCAAATATTGCCATATTCTAAAAGTGGTACAATTGGTGAAAAGGTTGAAAAGCCCTGATCTAGAGCAGGGGTGTCAAACTGCCAGCCCACGGGCCGGATGCATCATAGCGAAACCGCGCCCACCCCATTGCCAGCAATGGCAAAAAAAATCACGATATATCGTTACACGTCATGTGACGTTGCAAGTTTGACACCCCTGATCTAGAGCTTTTAGTAGCAATGTGAAGTATCAACATTTAACAAAGGCTGTTTACATTAATTCCCAGGAAATGGGCTGTTTTTTGTTATAACTAATCTTAAAGTTTTAAATATTCTGGAAACAAAGGTTGGATTTTGAGAGATGTGAAAGAAGTCTATTAATAGATAAATCATGCTGATAAATCATTATAAGTTAATATTTTAACTACAATATGAATAGATATTAAGGAATAATGAAAGCAGCTATTAAAGTGCACCCCTGAATGTATCATTAATAATCCAAAGAAAATTTGCATGAATATTGTATCATATTATTTCATTCCTATCTTTAGTAACACCCTACTCTTTAACAACAAACAATAGGTGGGCAGTCATTCTTCAGCCGGAAGGATTCTATACGAACTATATATACGTCTCTGCATAATGAGCTGAAGAAGGTGGTAGCAACCGGTCGGAATGCAGTGGGAGGAACAGCTCCTCACCTTGAAGAACTGCTTTCTCATCTTTCTGAACAGCTCTGCTTCTTTGTCCAGGCTCGGATGGAAATTGCTGACTTTTATGAAAAAATGTACAGCTTCAGTACCCAAAAGTATATAAACTCAGAGGAACTGATAAATATTTGGGAATCCATCCTGAAAAGATACAGCTCAAGGTTAGTGTGTGTACATAAGATTCTTATGTACAAACAATATTCTCAGGTTGAGCTCTTGGTGACTGTATCTGCACAGTTATTCTGCCAACAATAAGAAAGTGGTTTACTGTATTTTCAGGATGCTTTTGGACTTTCCAGTTTAACCAACAACACTGAAATTCCCCTGTTGTCTACTATCTAAACCAGTGGTTCTCAACCTGTGGGTCGGGACCCCATTTGGGGTCGAACGACCATTTCACGGGGGTCTCCAAACAACGCAGTCCGCCATTTTTTCCCCCTTTTCCTTAGCTGTGCTACTTCCTTTTATTCTATTGGCTTTTGAAAGTCAATAGAATAGACTCTCTTGAATAGAGTCCAATTCCATTGGCTTTCAAAAGCCAATAGGAATTGTCCAGGCTGTCTCTGCCCTGCTGAGCCCACCAAAAGTCCCATTCTGCAAACGATGCTGCCCCAGTTGAGTAGTCCTCAACTTACGACCGGTTGAGTAGTCCTCGACTTACGACCGGTTGGGGGTGGCGGCATTAAAAAGGTTGAGAACCACTGATCTAAACTCTAATTAAGACTCACCAGATCAGCCATTGGATAAAATGAAAGCATGTTTTAAATTTCAAAAATTAAGAGATTATTTAGTTTCTATTCCTGGAAAATACGTAGTATATTCACAGTATCAACAGAGTTCAGGCAATTTTTCAGTATTCAGTTATATATATTTAGAATATTTAGAGTTAGAACTCTACAGCATATATATCACTGTTTTTATCTTTACATTTTTAACTAGAAAACATAGTTGCTTAAATGTAGACCATAATCAGACCTATGATTTGCCTAAAACTGAAATGCATATAATATAGGCCCAAATGTGATTTTCTAGGCAAAAATGTTTTGAGGAGGGGGGGGGGCAAACAAGAAAAAGTGATGTCATAGAGTACAATTTAATTACGTAACTGATGCTGTCCTTAGGTTATCTCTCTTAAGTAATTAGAATGTGCTCTGTTAAGACCTAAGAGTTCTGTAGGTGCACATGAATGAGATGGGATGGATAATTATCATTGGATAATTGTTGGATAATAATGATCTTTTGAGATTTGCCATCCGAGTAACTAAAATAATTCATAGCACTTAAGACGTTGGATATCTAGTTTCAAGGGTACTTAGGGCTGACTTGTTATAAACTCATTGATATAAGAATGATCATTCATCAAACTTGATTTATATCCTGCCTTTCTTATTTTTATAAATAAAGCAGCAATACCTAATATTCCTTCTTCCTATTTTCCCTACTACAACAACCCTATGAAGTGGGTTGGGCTGAGAGAGAATTACTAGACCAAAGTTCTCCAGCTGGTTTTCATGCCTGAGGCAGGACTAGAACTCAGAGTCTCCTGGTTTCTGGCCTGGTGCCTTAACCACTGTAGCAAGTATGGAACTACCTGGTGAATATTACATTTTTGTGAAAAAGTGTGGTATTACAGTTTTCATTAATTGCTTGCTTAGAAATACTATCAAGGAATGATAGCATTCTCCTTTTATTCTATATATACTATAAATAAGAATATTGGAAATATTTATATATATTAGAACTAAAACAGTAAATAGCTTGTTGAAATAATGTCTTTTATGTACTATTTTCCCTTTTCTAGATTTCATCACCCAATCCTTAGTCCTCTGGAGGGCAATTTCCAGTTAGAAACTGATGTGCTTATGCATCTTCTGAAGGCTCAGGCCCAGATCTCTGAATGGAAGTTCCTCCCATCCTTGGTCCACTTGCACAATGCTCACATGAAATTGCAGACATGGGGACAGATTTTTGAGAAGCAGCGGGAAACAAAGAAGCATCTCTTTGGTGGCCAGTCTCAGAAAGCTGTTCAACCTCCATATCTTTTCCTGTGGCTAATGAAACTCAAAAATATTCTCCTTGCCAAATTTAGCTTTTACTTTCATGAGGCACTTAGTCGACAAACAACCTTATCTGAAATGAAAACTTTGACTGCAAAAGCTAATCCTGATTATTTTGGGAAAATCTCCAGCTTCATCAGGAAATATGATGCTGTTAATGTTTCATTAATCTTTGACAATCGTGGCTCAGAGAGCTTTCAGGGACATGGTTATCATCACCCCCAGTCCTATAGGGAAGCCCCAAAGGGTGTAGATCAGTATCCAGCAGTGGTTTCACTGCCCAATGACAGGCCTGTCATGCACTGGCCTAATGTCATCATGATTATGACTGATAGAGCTTCTGATCTGAATACTTTGGAAAAGGTTGTCCATTTCTATGATGACAAAGTTCAGAGCACGTACTTCTTGACCCGACCTGAACCTCATTTTACCATTGTGGTTATTTTTGAATCCAAAAAGTCTGAGAGAGACTCTCATTTTATCTCTTTCCTCAATGAAACTTCCTATTCTCTTAAGAACTCTAAAGCTTTTGCGAGCCTGAAGCCGGGATCCAAAGGGTAAGAGGACTATTAAAACAAAATAGACAACAGTAACACAACAAGTTCGAAACATCCTCAAAATAGGCATTTGTATATGTTGTCATTTTAATAACCATTTAATTATGAACATTAATTATTAAGCATTTTTGGAATGAAAAATCAGAATTATATAGAATTGAACGGGAACATGCAAATTACACAAATGTGCACTAAAATTATCAGTATGGAATTTTGATTCACTTTTATTTTGTCTGTGACCCTTCTTGTTCTTCCTATATGCACTTTATCTTTTGTTACTGCAGGGTCTCCAGAAAATTTGGTTGAAGATTTCAACCCAGAACCCACTGTCTTCTCTTAAAGTATTTTTCAGTCATAGTCACTGGAAAATGCTAGAACTTAGAAATACAATGAGGGAAAAAATTATTTGATCCCCTGCTAATTTTGTACGTTTGCCCACTGACAAAGAAATGATCAATCTATAATTTTAATGGTAGGTTTAACAGTGAGAGACAGAATAACAACAAAAAATCCAGAAAAACGCATTTCAAAAAAGTTACAAATTGTTTTGCATTTTAATGAGTGAAATAAGTATTTGATCCCCTATCAATCAGCAAGATTTCAGGCTCCCAGGTGTCTTTTATACTGGTAATGAGCTGAGATTAGGAGCACTCTCTTAAAGGGAGTGCTCCTAATCTCACCTTGTTACCTGTATAAAAGACACATGTTCACAATCAAATTCCAAACTTTCAACCATGGCCAAGACCAAAGAGCTGTCTAAGGATGTCAGGACAGGCTTGTAGACCTAACCAAGGCTGGAATGGGCTACAAGCAGCTTGGTGAGCAGGTGACAACAGTTGGCGCGATTATTCGCAAATGGAAGAAACACAGAATAACTGTCAATCTCCCTTGGTCTCTTTGGCATCAACTCAACTTGCCGTGTTTGGAGGAGGAGGAATGCTGCCTATGATCCCAAGAACACCATCCCCACTGTCCATCATGGAGGTGGAAACATGCTTTGGGGTGTTTTTCTGCTAAGGGGACAGTACTTGCCAACAAGGGTTTTGCCACCAAGTACTAAGTCATGATTTGCGAAAGGGTCAAATGCTTATTTCACTCATTAAAATGCAAATCAATTTATAACTTTTTTGAAATGCGTTTTTTGGATTTTTTTGTTATTCTGGCTGTTAAAATAAACCTACCATTAAAATTATAGAGTGATCATTTCTTTGTCAGTGGGGAAATGTACAAAATCAGCAAGGGATCAAATAATTTTTTCCCTCACTGTAACTGCAATAAATGAAATGCATTGTAGAATGAAGTGTTTTATTTTTTCATTGTTTCTGCACCTTTCAGATAGTTGTACAAGCTTGGTCTGGTATACTGTATTTTTCTAATGTGATACAGACCTGAAAGTAATTATTCTGAAATTCCTTACATTTACATATTGTATAAGAAAAGAAACTATTTTGTACATTTTAAAGCTACAACATTAATGGCAAGGTTGAGCAGCAGTAATTTCAATTCTAAGTGCTGAGGTGGAATTCTTCATTAAATTAATGACACTCTGTAATTTGAATGTTAATAAAATTTAATTAAAAATTAGAATGGAAAAATAGAAGCATGATATGTAAAATAGATAGAAGGAACTGTATATAAAAATCTAGTAAAACAACTAGCAGGACAAAAGTCAGAAATCAGAATTAGCATTTTAAATACTAAGTGCTAACTAAAATAATAAATGCTATTTTGGCTCTATTTGATTATTGTATTTCAGATTAATAAAATAAATTATGTATGAAAGTTTGGTTAATAGTTCTTTGTAAAAGCAAGCAAATAATTCAGTTCTATTGTTTATATTTTTCTGTTTCATTTAAGTTACAATTAACAGCTTCAAAATAATCCTGGTTAAACCATTGGACTGGGTCAGAATCTTGGTTTATTTAAGTTTATTAAATTATTAAATTTATTTGCCACCCATCTCACCGCAAGGGGACTCTGGGTGGCTTACAACACTAAAATTAATAAAATCGTAAAAGTAAATATTTCTTTTTTTAAAACAAATATTTTATTGAGTTTTTTAAGGGTAACAAGAATAGGGTCAACAGAGGTAAAACAAAGGGAGACATACAAAAGGGTTAAACCAAAGGAAGGGGGTAAACACAAAAGTGGGATCAATCCCACAAAATAAGTAAGCCCATCTGGGTATACATATTAAATCTTAATGATTACTCTAGTATTGAACAGCTTTCAATATAGTCATGTAAATAACAAGTTAATCAATATATCTCATTCATTTTACTAATTAACAATGCTTAATACTAATTAGTTTTAATAACTTCAAAATAGTAATATATTACTTATTGGTTATAATTTACTATATATCACAAATACGAAAAAAAGAAAAAAACAAAAAGACAAGTTGATACAAATAATCATGAAATATAAATACAAATTATCAATTATCTCTTTAAGTTTCATAACCTTTTCTCATTCTATCGTATTGCTAACCATTGGTAAAAATTTTCCCATGTTTTAAAATAAATTGTATCTTCTTTCTCTTTCATTTCTAAAGTTAACCTATCCATTTCTGCACATTCAAGTATTTTTGTTATTACAATCTGATCAGATGGTAAATTTTTATTTTTCCAAAATTGGGCAAATGTTATTCTCGTGGCTGTTAACACACATAATATTAAATACTCATTCTCTTTTCCATAATTATAGCCTAATATTCCTAGCAAACAGAGTTCTGGTTTAAATTCTATCTGTATTTTAATCATCTTTTCTAGTCACATATGAATCTTAAACCAAAATTTCTTAGCATTAGGGCATATCCACCAGAGATGGTAATAAGTGCCTGGTTGTTGTTTACATTTCCAACATATATTTGATACATTTTAAAACATTTTCTCTAATCTAACTGATGTCATGTGCCATCTATAAAACATTTTATATAAATTTTTCTTATATGCAGCTGCTTTAGTAAGTTTAATATTTCGGTCCCATAGTTTTTGCCAATCTTCTAAATCTATAGAATAACCAAAATTCTTTGCCCACACTATCATTGTTTCTTTCACTTGTTCTTCTTCCATCTTCCAGTTTAACAAAAATTTATAGAGTTTCTTAATCAAATTTTCATCTGTTTTCAAGAGTATTTTATCTAGTGGTGTCTGTTCTTTGTAAAATCCCATTACTTTTACATCTTTTTCATATCTTGTTTGAATTTGCAAATATGACCACCATGTTAAATCAATACCATTTTGTTGAAGATCTTGCCTATCTTTAAGTTTTCCTTCTTTATCTAAAGTATCTTTATAGACCATCTGTTAATTAAGTTCGGATACACAAATGCTTCCATTGTTGAAAGCCACTAGGTATTTTCATATAAATTTTATTTTTAATTCTCTCCCATTCTGAGAGTAGTACATTCCTTATAGCGTGAGTTTGAAAGTATTTATGTACTTTATTTTTCTCATACCATAGGAAAGCGTGCCAACCCAGTTGAAAATCATGTCCCTCTAAATAAAGAAGTTGTTTATTTCTCAATGTGATCCATTCTTTAAGCCACAACAAAATAGTGGCTTGGTAGTAGAGCCTCCAGTCTGGGAGTCCAAAGCCCCCTCTGTCTTTTGAGTCTTATTCTGACTCAAATTTAAAGCGCCTTCTTTTAAATCCAGTCAGATAGACAACTCAAAAGAAACGATCTTATAATAAACAAAAATATATTTTAATGAGAAAGATTACTTGCATTCACGCTGTGGTTGATACTCCTGGAAAATATATCTTTGTCCATCTCTTTAGACCATCCCTTTAGGTAAGAGTATGATGCTCTTCCATGTTGTTGTTGTTGTTGTTAATTGCGAAGTCGTGTCCGACCCATCGCGACCCCATGGACAACATTCCTCCAGGTCTTCCTGTCCTCTACCATCTTCTGGAGTCCATTTAAATTCACACCTACTGCTTCAGTGACTCCATCCAGCCATCTCATTCTCTGTCGTCCCCTTCTTCTATTGCCCTCAATCTTTCCCAGCATTAGGCTCTTCTCCAGTGAATCCTTCCTTCTTATTAGGTGGCCAAAGTACTTGAGTTTCAACTTCAGGATCTGGCCTTCTAAAGAGCAGTCGGGGTTGATCTCTTCTAGGACCGACCGGTTTGAACGCCTTGCAGTCCAAGGGACTCGCAGGAGTCTTCTCCAGCACCACAGTTCAAAGGCCTCAATTCTTTGGCGCTCAGCCTTTCTTGTGGTCCAACTTTCACAGCCATACATTGCAACTGGGAAAACCATGGCCTGGACTATGCGTACTTTTGTTGGCAGGGTGATGTCTCTGCTTTTTAGAATGCTGTCTAGATTTGCCATAGCTTTCCTCCCCAGGAGCAAGCGTCTTTTAATTTCTTGGCTGCAGTCCCCATCTGAGGTGATCTTGGAGCCCAGAAAAATAAAATCTGTCACTACCTCCATTTCTTCCCCATCTATTTGCCAGGAATTGAGAGGGCCGGATGCCATGATTTTGGTTTTCTTAATGTTGAGTTTCAAGCCAACTTTTGCACTCTCCTTCTTCACCCGCATCAAGAGGCTCTTTAGTTCCTCTTCACTTTCTGCCATTAGAGTAGTATCATCTGCATATCTTAGGTTGTTGATATTTCTCCCGGCAATCTTAATTCCAACTTTTGATTCATCTAGCCCTGCCTTTCTCATGATGTGCTCTGCATATAAGTTAAATAGGCAGGGCGACAGTATACAGCCTTGCCGGACTCCTTTTCCAATTTTGAACCAATCAGTGGTTCCGTGTTCGGTTCTCACTGTTGCTTCTTGACCCTGCATATAGGTTTCTCAAGAGACAAATGAGATGGTCTGGTACTCCCATCTCTTTAAGAACTTGCCACAATTTGTTGTGATCCACACAATCAAAGGCTTTTGCATAGTCAATGAAGCAGAAGTAGATGTTTTTCTGGAACTCCCTAGCTTTCTCCATGATCCAGTGTATGTTGGCAATTTGATCTCTAGTTCCTCTGCCTCTTCGAAATCCTGCCTGTACTTCTGGTACTTCTGGCTCTTCCATACCATCTTTATAATGACTTGGGCTTATTGTATGAGCTTACATGGCCCATGCTTCTTACAGACAAAGAGATTCCCATGTGGCTTGTGTCCAGGAAGTTTCTCAATGACCTTTGATACTCCTCCCACTGACCCATCAACATACGTAGCATTTAACCCAATAACTGCCAGACACTCCAACACACTCATACCTGCTCTCTAGTTAGGGTTACATAGAGCTATACGGTCCATGGAGCTATACGTTTCAGAATAAGTCTTGTAACAGTTTAATATTAATTCTTGCTTTTTTTCCTTGCCATATAAATCTCATTATTGTTGCATTTAAATCATTGAAAAATTTCTGGCTTAGTTTGACAGGAACCATCTGAAATAAAAAATAGCAGTTTAGGTAAGATATTCATCTTAACAGGCGCTATCCTTTCTAATAATGATAGTTGAAAGTTTTCCCACTTTTCCAAATCTGTTTTTATTTGT